TCCAGAAGAGCGGTGAAATTATTGTACAAAAAGTACGATCTAGTGAGAATTTGGCAGATCTATTCACCAAGTCCCTTCCTACATCTACTTTTGAAAAATATATTTATGGTATTGGTATGCGTAAACTTGGAAGACTATTGTCTTCAGGGGGAGGGACAAACTCAAAATAATCTTGAAGATTAGGTCCTGAAGACCAAATGCTGTACTCTTTTTTCCTTAACTAAGTTTTTCCCATTGGGTTTATTAGTTAAAGGTTTTTGATGAGGCAGCTAGTAAAACACATGAATTTTTATAAATCATGTACTCTTTTCCTTGACTAATTTTTTTTTCCCTTGGCGGGTTTTTATTAGCAAGGTTTTTAATGAGACATGTAGTAATGTCCAAGGGGGAGTGTTATAAATATATGAATGTGGACATTACTAATATACAATTGGGCCTGAAGTCCATTAGTTAGGAGAATTAGATTTTAGGGCTTCCCACTTGTAAACCCTATATAAGGGTGATATACGGTGAATAAAGATATAGACTTTTATGCTCTTCTGTCTCTTGTTCTCTCGCTCGTTTCTCTTTACTTCGTTTGGTGTGGATGCTTGAGGATCCCAATTTACAACAGTATGTTCTCTTATTGATATTTGTAGCTTTTTCTACTATTTCGTGTCTGATTTGGTATAGCTATTACATTTAATAAATCTTAGTTTTTAAACTCTTAATTAAATACACAAGATTGTTAAGATCTTATAATGTATTTAGAAATTTCAAACAAATAGACCACGTAAATAATTTCTCATATTTCAAGAATTTGTGTATTCATTTAAAAATTTAAAAGGTGTTGTAAAGCCATGGGATTTATCTGAAATTTTGAAAAATCTTAATCATTACAATAGATTTTAAAATGCTATAATAAGTTATTCAATTTATTTATTAATTCGATGTGTTTAGACTTTTCAAGGCTTACTAGAATTTGAAGACAAAATACATATAACAAATCTCACTTTAAATCCTACATCTAAGTATCAAATTCCCAGGGATCCTCCAGACATCATAAGGATTAAATAAAAAAAATTTAAATTTGAAAAAGTCTACAATTGTCACTGAAATGAATACACATTTTAAATATAAAATTCATAATATCCTATTGATTCACAATCTATTATTTGGACCTTAGTGCAATGGTGTAAATTTGGCAAATTGAACCTCATTTAGAGTCTATCGTTTTAAAAAAAATAAAATAAATAAAAAATAAAAAACTCATTTAGAGATTTGATTACTTTTTAGAGCCAAAAAGCTAATTTTGAAAGGCTAAATAGGGACGTCTTGAGAAGCAATGATTAATATAATCTATATATCTATATCTATACTTATATAATAAGAATTAATATTTATCCAAAATAGTAGGTCAAATTATGGTCAATGTAGGATTTGCATTAAATATTTTCCAAAACTGGTAAGTTTTTGTCATTTTCACATTTCTCATTAATTATGTCCTTTTCACACTTCTCATTAATTATGTCATTTTCACACATCTAATCTATACTTATATTAAAAGGTATCCCGTTTACCAGATTTAGTATAAAGAAAAGTCAAAGGTAATTAATGTTTGCTGGAAATAGAATGACATTAATTACAGATTTGTTTCGGTATTTATAGCTTGACATTAAAGATTTGTTATGGGATAAAAATCAGAACCGATTTTTTTACTTTGCTGGAAAAGTTAAATGTAAGTATAGATTTGTTTTATTCCATAACATCGGTTTAGTTAAAAAAATATCATAAAATCGGTTTTAATTTCAAGCCTATAAATAAAGATTTAATCGGTTTTAATAAAGCAAATTTAATCGGTTTTAATAATTGCATAGAATTTCAAAGCTGTTATTTATTGTAAAAAAATTAAATTCTAAAAAAACATTTGTGTATATTTTGTAAAATGTTTTACTTTAAATTTATTTACATAATTTAAATCAATTACATTAATAAATAATATGAACATACATTAAATATTTTAATTACATAAAACAAAAAGAAGAAGAAGATTACATCTATAACTTATAATAATAATGACATTATACTACAATAAATTTTATAATGAAATAATATAAGTATTATACGAGGAATAAGATTACGTAAAATTGTTATTTTTCTTATATCAATGAATAAATATATATAATGAAATCAAATTTATATTATTATAAACATGTGAGCGAGATAATATATTAATTAGTTTACGGGCTAGCACTACCAGACTCAGGTTTAATGTTCCGACAAAAAAAATGACGTTGATGAAAATATGTAAAAAGATAGATGATCAAACTCTATTATTTTCTAGGCCTGAACGGACAAGCTCTATGGTCCACTCATTTAATATCTCCCGTGAATCGCACGAGCTACTTAACAGACAAGTTATGTGGAAATAACTCATTAATACTTATGTCCCGTGCATCGCACGGGCTACGTGCTAGTATATATAATAAGAATTACTATTTATTACAAATAGTAACTAGAAAATTTAGGACAACATTAATTATTTACTATTGTTGGATTTTTTTATTTTTTTTACATAAAAACGAATCATCATTTATGAATTAGGAGGCCTACAAAATAGGAATCTACTTTGAAATACAAATTTAAATCGGATATATCCTAAAATAAAGGAATTTGTTTATTCCTCCATCATATAATCCCATATATCAATACCATTAAATTCAGATTTTTTTTTAATAAGCCAAATCAGCCTTTATGACTTAGGTAGCCTACAAATTTGGGAATCTAATTTGAAATACAAATTGGAATTTGATATTTCCTAAAATAAAGGAATTTGTTGATTCCTCATAATACAATCCATATCAAAATATGGATTTTACATATTATATACGCACATGCAGACTGCTAGAATAAATAAAAGCATTTTATCATTGTTTACTTAATTACTTATCTTTTTTTAATGTTTTTTAATTTAGTCATTGTTTAACGTTAATCTAGACTATCACTACCACTATATACGTAGCAACATTAATACATAACATTCCATTCATACAAAAAAAAATATACAACAAATATAACTATTCACATCCATCTATTCATCCATCGACGAAAAAACTAAAGAACAACAAATTCAGTCGATTTTACTTATAAAGCAATAATCTATATATATACATATATATAATAAGAATTACCATTTATCAAAAATAGTAGCAAAAAAATAGGTCAGAATTTAATGCAACCTATAAATAGTAAGTTTTATTATTTTTCTTTAAAAATCATACATCATTAAATGTTACCTTAAATTTCGGGATTTAGTTCATTTTTTTATTTAAAAAATTCGGCTAAGATTATTAAGTGTGTATGTTTTTATTTTTATTTTTTTTCTTAGAAACAACGAACAACATTAAAATCTCGGTCTCTATATTTATAAAATCTCAATTCATAATATAACAAAAGTTTTAGAATCTCGGTCTTTATATTTGTGCCTTTAAAAAAAATATTGAACGCTAAAAATATTCCTTAAACTGGGACTCATTTCTTCAAACTAAAGGAGCAAATAAAACAAACCAGAATTGCATTGTCCAAGTGGAGCAAACTCTTCAGAACTGATCACAAAGAGAAAGTAACCAATCTTACCCTTAAGCTTGAGGAAATGAGACAGTTGGGTGAAGGCAAAAACTGGGATGAATGGGAAGCAATCAGAAAAGAGCTGGATCAGGCTCACAGCTCTGAAGAAATGTATTGGCAACAAAAGTCTAGAGTCCAGTGGCTCAAAGAAGGTGACCAAAACACAAGCTTTTACCATGCCTACACTATGCAAAGAAGGAAGCACAATGCCATCTCAAGACTCATTTCTGAGAATTCAAATGTCTGTGATACCAAAGAGGCCATTGTAAGAGAAATCACAACTTTCTACAATAATCTTTTCTCCACTGAAGATTCACATGGCTCAGCTGACATACTTCAGCACATCCCAACATCCATTTCACCAGACATGAATGTTCAGCTAGTGGCCAACATCACCGAGGAAGAAATAAAACAGTCTCTATTCCAAATGAATCCTCTGAAGTCCCCAGGAGAAGATGGCATGACTCCTCTCTTCTATCAGCACTACTGGCCCATTATCAAAGATGACCTTTGTGCTGCAGTTGAATCTTTCTTCTCTTCAGCCCAAATACTCAGGTACTGGAACCACACCCTCATCACACCAATCCCAAAATGCCTAAATCCTACATCAATATCCCAATTCAGGCCCATTAGCCTCTGCAGTGTGGTGTATAAACTGATAGCAAAGATCTTGGCATCAAGGCTCAAACAATGTCTACATGATTGCATAAGTTCTTCCCAGGGTGCCTTCCTGACTGGCAGAAACATTCTTGACAATATCATCATAGCACAAGAAGCCTTCCACTATATGAACAGACACAGATCTAGGCCTCATAGCTTCATGGCATTGAAGCTTGACATGATGAAGGCCTTTGACAGGGTAGAATGGAGTAGCATCAAAGCTATAATGCAGAAAATGGGATTTGAGACTACTTTCATCAGATGGATTTTAGCTTGCATTATAGCCACATCATTTTCCTTTCTTCTGAATGGGGAAGCAGTGGGCTTGTCATGAATCCCACCTTATGCTCAGGGTGCAGGGTTCGAGTCCTGGGGAGGACAAAAACCACAGGGAGTCCTACGATGGGTTTTCACCCTACGGACAGAGCACTGTGGAAGTCCATGAGTCCCCAGTGCATGGTCATGGCCCACCGGGGGTCCCACCCCCTTCGCGGGGAAGGCTGGCGGGAACGACCGTCAACAACTTTGTTATGGTTTTGCGTTTTTTAATGAGATTTCTATCGTTTGATAAAAAAAAAAAAACACAATTTCGGTATAAATTATTCGGTAATACACAAAACAGGACTTTGTTTTTCCCTAGTATAAATGAGTACTATCTAAAATTAGTATGAGGTTTTCCAGATATTAAGGCAACCTAAAAAAACAGGAGTCCTATCTAGTAGTGTGAGGCTTTGAAAAGATTTAAGTACGTGGCATCACCACCTTCGGCAAATATGAGAAATATCCGCGAAAGAGAATGGGAAATATGAGAAATATCCGCGAAAAAGGAGAGATTGTGTGGATTTGCAAACTGGACGATGGAGAAGGTTTTTGGTACAGAAAAAGGTGTGAAGAGTAATACGTACCTTTTCGAATTAGGAGAGAGAATCAAAAAGCCACACACTTTACGTATCTTGCCTTCTCTCTATATCTTCTATCCACTTCCCCTGTTGATTGTAGCTTTTCATAATCTCATTACTTTGTGGGCGGTGGCCATAATTTGCTTCTCTATCTCAGCCCATTATCTATCTCATTCAATGATATCGCTTTCTCATTTAAAGGAGTTTTGACAAATTTGGTTGTGAATTTCTTTATTAGTTTTGGTGAGTAGAATTGAATGCTGGGGCCGGCCAAAATTTCGAATAGTGGGAATGGTTAAAAAACTGATCTTGATGCAAATGGAATGATCATTTTTGTTTTTTCTTTTGTTTTTTTTTTGGGAAGAATAGGAAAGTTTGCTGCGGATGGTATCAATGGCGTCGTACCAACTCATCAGAGAAGGGTGCGCGAGCGTTGATGTTGAGTCTGCTTTGCACAAAACCAATAATAAATCTTCATCATCTTCTCCAGCCCACTCGAGCTCGGGCTGTATTAGGTCATCGTCTTCGTCATCTGCTCGTCTTGTATCCCTTGACATTTTCCGTGGCATTACTGTTGCGGTTGGTAACATTATGCTATCTTTTTTTTCGTTTTCAATTTGATGATCTAACTCTCTGCTGTTGCGGTGACACTACGCCATCTTTTCCAATGAGATATTATCAGATTAACCAGACCATTTACGAGTAACAAACTAAATTTATGTACTCTGTTATCTTTGGTCTTTGGAGTTTGCAATTATATGTGCAAGTAGGTGACTTGATAGGTAAATAGTATACAACCACAATAGGCTTTTCCAACACTTGTAAGTGGGTATTTGTGATTTTGGATATGTTTGAAGTTTTGTGTCTTGTTCTCTTTTGTTCCGTATTGTAATTGTAATTACATTAAATTCTTTAGGTTCTTTATAAGCCTGTTGAAAGAATTGTACAGTGCAAAACGGGTTTTTTTTTTTGCATAGAGTAATAATAATACAGTGGGATACTGTGATGAGGGGATTTCAACCTTGACTTGGGAAGGAAACTGGTGCTTCTGTTGTTTCAAGAAAGTTAAGAGATGTTTATTATAGCAAATTGAAAATCTTTTTATTCAGATAGCTACGGAAACTAAGATGACTCTGTCAGGCAAAGTATAGGCAAAAGATTAGAACTCAGACTGACTATCTAATTCAAAAAACTCATNGATTTTGTTATGCCGTTTTTCCTTTTCATGGTTGGCGTGTCAGTTGCACTTGTATACAAGGTACTTGTGTTGAGATAATACTGTTTATGAAGCAGTGAACAGAATATTGTGTTTTGAAAAAAAAAAAAATGTTAATATCAGTTTACTTCTGTAATTGCATTTAATTGTGGACATTTATGTTGTTTTGCCTGTGATTCTATCTAATCTGTGTTTTTTGTTTTCCCACTAGAATACAGCCTGCAGGGCTGCTGCATCCAGAAAAGCAATACACCGGGCAGCCAAACTTATTGTAATAGGATTATTTCTCCAAGGTGCTTGTTTGCAACTTTATGTACCCTTGAGAGATGTTTTTATGATGTTTTGACCAAAAAAATTAAAAGAAAAGGAAAGTACTATGTAATATTGATAAATTGGAATAACATTTGTAAGTCACTCCAAATTGTGAGTTGATGAACCTCCTCTATTGAAGTTCTCAATCATTTTATGGTGCATATTCCGTCCTTCATTTATTTATTCACCCGTTGCTATATATTCTTAAATTTCTGATATATCAGGTGGCTTTTTCCATGGTCTTAATAATCTTACATACGGTGTTGATGTGGAACACATTAGATGGATGGGCATATTGCAGGTTTGTAACATCAGTTATAAGTTGTTGGCCTTATAAATCTAATGAGAACATATGTTCGATAGAGTTTAAGTAATTCATTTTTTTTAATTGATTTTATTTTGTGAATTAAGAGAATTGGGGCAGCATATTTGGTGGCAGCAATGTGTGAGATTTGGCTTAGAAATGACGAAAAAGTTCGCTCTGGCTCATCTTTGATTAAGAAGTACCAATGGCACTGGTAGGTTCAAATTCATAGTTGTATTTGTGCATCGTAAGAGACAAAAAAGAAGATTCTTGAGACACCTTAGTCACTTGAAATCAAATGGATTAGAAAGCAAAACCGAAACCACTTTATAGTTTGTTCTGGTAGGCCTATGGACCTCTGAATTTACATGTAACTGATCCATTTGGGGGACTACTCTT